AATAAATGCGATTCCTTAAACTTCGCTTAAGCTCCATTTGATCAACTTCGCAAAAAGTTTTTCAGTACTGGAAGGGATTATTATTACACCTTTTTTTTACTAATCAGGGAATTCTTCCACAGCACAATGTATATTAGAAGAAAGTTTCGTTTGTCTTTCCTTATAGCATACGGAATTCCTTTTGTATAAACATACTCATGATTTAGCATAAATGAGAGCCTATTTGCCCCAATAACTTTAAATAAGAGGGAGTTTTCCAAACCAAAGCCCTTCTTATTATTAAATCCACTCAGTTTATCAAAACAACCTGTCCAGATATACGCTCAACTACATAGTTAAATTTCGACCTGAATTTTGTTTGCAGGATTCGCAGAACTGTATGTGTACATAAATGAACAATTGAAACTGCTGGCAAGCTCATTCACCAAATGCACTCTCGCATCAAAGACGCCAAAGAAGACCACACTCAAGGCATGACCCGTCCCAAAAGCCCCATGGTCCAAGGTCTACGCCGATTATACTGGACCACTCAGTGGCCAGAGTCTCCTTATCGCTGATGACGCATAAGGTAAGTAGCTGGAAGTAATTCTCATGGAAGGCACGACAGCTGGGGCCACAATCAACACTCTGCGGTGACTGCACAGCAGATTTGGTTGTCGCAAACCTTTGATGAGCGATAATAGGGGCACTTCACACCAGATTCTGCAAGTCGTCCGGCCGTCACTTCCGTTTGCCACCATATCACTCGCAGTCCAACGGACAGGCTGAGCGATTTGTCAACACGTTCATGTGGGTGCTTCAGAAGTCAAAGGGGTAGGGGACGAAGAAAAAAAGTTCTCCAACTATTCCTGCTAGGCGTTCCCACGCTGCACTATCCATCGGCCCATACGCCTGCGCGTGGTGATATCGCGCACGTTGCCGATAGGGTTGGTGCTCTACCCAACCATTTGGAAGGCCAGTCGATATCTTCGTTCGATATCTTCACTCTGCCAGGGCTTACACCCATGCGTAATCATCTAACCCGCGTGATATCGGCCTTTCCCACGTTATCGATCCGCTCGCCGCTTCATATGCGCGTGCGCTCAAAGGTACTCGATACTTCCGCCTCATCTGATTGGCGGCAGCTGATAGAGCACTCGTCTCGCAGCCAAAGATTGACTTACCCACACAACTTTGCGGACTCACTTGGTGTGCACACATAGCTGGCAGTTGCCCCATAACACGGCCCCTGTACCGTCTATTTTTCGGCGGTAAATTTCTGTCTACCAACGCTATCTTCCTGACTTGTGATTTGTGGGATCCTTCTGCTTGTCGACACCACTACCTGCGACATGTTAACCCCTCAAGGCCGTTATCCGATTGGTTCGACTTCAGTCCGACCTTGTATAAATTCGCCTCTTCCTTTTTGGCTTTAAAGACGCCATGAGCATACGCCCTTGCTGTTGAATTCTTCTTTGGGGATTCGGTCGAGGCGTTGTTAGGCGGTCGGTCGTCGAGGCTTCGAGCAATTTCATAAAGATCCCCCCTTTAAGTTTGTATATCTGGAACACGACTCGATAAAACTATTTGGTGCCCAGGAAAGCCGCAAAACAGAGTGCCATAGAAGAAGAAGAGCATGGCATCAATCATCATCATCATCATGGCATCATTATTAAAGCTTCGGCAAGTGTGACATCACATCAGTCGATACATCCAACCTCGGTTTGTGTCTGAAAAATAGATCACTAACCTCACGAGAGACAAGCAGATCCGCTCAGGATAGTCAGTGTGTTGGGAGAGGGAAGGGGGAAGGAAGACGATGGAGAGTTGTGCAAGAAACGGGGTGGAGGCACAAACACAAAGAGGACCTAGAATTTCCCGGGCGAGGGGAACCGGGAAAAAAGGGGGGTGTTCATGTAAAAATTACAGCGGTCCTTATGTTCATAGGGGACTTGGGTAAATTTGTGTTGCTTTCAGACTCCTGAGTCCATGTACTCCTTTTAGGGCGTCTACAGGAAACAAGCCTGTCCCAACTTGACGCCAATGCTTTCGCCGGCAGCGACAAAGGCGACGTCACGGATAGGTAGGCGCGTTGCAGCACCGCTGACGTCGATCAGCGCCTCTCTGGCTTCATTCTACAAGGGAACGCAGGCGAAATTTATTTCACGACTTGCTCCGCTCAGGTTCAATATCTGCCTACCTTACTTGATAGGAATTTCGTTACCGTTTCTACTAATTTACTAGGATTTGGCTACTCCTTAACCTCATTTTCCTCGAAGAATGTAACAACAGGAGGTCATCTCAGACCCTTTTCATGTGCATTTATTCCTCCACATGTTCCTGTAGTGAATGTGGGAACAGCCCCTGGCATGGCTGGGAATAGCCGCAATAAAGAGCAGAAAACAGCAATATTCTCGTTCATATTTATTCTGGGCATCAAGTGGGCTCCAACGAAGCCCTTAATATGCTAATATCCCACTGAGCTACCCTCAGCCATTGGGCCAACAGGTTCTAGCAACAACGGAAGCAGGCGCCGTCAGATTACAAAAAAAACTGGTCTTGTACGCATAGAATACCCTCCACGGTATAAGGTTGATTGACTGCGCCCAATTCCTCGTGCCCTTTCATTCTTCATAACCCTCACTGTCTCCCCCCCATTTCCACACCCAGTGTGTGTTTTAATACGGAATTTAATCGATCGATTTAATTAATCATTGAGATGTCTTATTCTACACTGTTCCCATATAAATGCCCCAGTCTGAGGAGAATTTATCGTAGGCAAACGTATACTCACCAACTAGTCGTTTGAGTACTGTGCCACGAGAATATTCGCAAATCTAACAGTTGCCGACAGTAGATAGAGGAGTCGCCCCTTCACAGGCGATGCTTTAAGTTAATCTGATATTGAAATTGCGCATCTGGCTCAGCAGATGACTTTAAATCAAATCAGCTGAATCCTCCAACCGAAGAGAAAAGACAAACCAGTTAATTCTGTCAAACACAAACACACAAAGCTCTTACTACAAAGCGGTTTTAAGTAATCTCAAAAGCGATGACCTGTAGTCACTCAACTAATGCAATTGAACAACTTGCCCACATGTAGTGACTAGCTCCACACGAAGTGCACTTGTGAACGTTCGCTGCTTCCGGCCTCTGGTACAGCTAATCACAGGTCGACTCACACAGGACCTCATGTAACGACAGCCGAGCAGACATCACTTCAGACATCGTCCGCTTGCTGGCGGTTGTGCGGTCGTCTGAGAGTCAATTTGCTCTTGCCTGTCCTTCATTTCCTTCTGTACAGAATAAATTCTCCCAAGCACTCTAGCCTCCCATGATTTCTCTTCTCCCCTAAAGAACCGGGCCTGAAGCTCGCAATTGCTAGGGTTTACCTTACTTAACCCCCCTGCGATGCACACATCTATTATAGCAGTTGAGATGCCAGCCTGCTTCTCTCCCTCAGGCAGGCATTAAAGCCACCAACGCACTCCTGCCCTAATCAGCGGTTACGCCTGCTTGCGCCAGAAACACAGGTGAATTCTGTTTCATCTTACTAATTGAGACTGGCTTAGGGGGGTGTAATTTCCCAAAGCACAGCCCGTACCTTCAGAAGCTACAAGAAAAATGAGTCTGATATTTGCGTTTTATGCGAGTAGGGGGTCTTCTGGGACGTACCTTGCAGTTGTTGTGAACAACGCTGAATTTGGCATGAACATCAGCTGCGCTCAATTCGATCTCATTGTCAGCATACAGTTTCAGCATTTCAATGGAATCCGCCGACGCTTCGTCACAGGGCACACTGAGAGTTTGTCTAGCCACGGGGCTTCGCAGTTTCAGCATGGCCAGCTGAGGACCCTCAACTTCATAGGAGAACTACAAAGAAAATTGTTACACTTCATAAAGTTACAAAGACAGAACTTTATTTTTTTTTAAAGTATTAGTATTTGACTAACTGCAATCTCTCCGCCCATATAACCTCGTAGCTACTCAGAACTGGAAAAGATGGGGCCACTTATCCTTGCAAAGCACTTGTCTTGACGAAGTAGGGGTTTTATGAGAGAATGTAGACCTCGGGGTGACAGCACTGTGAACCCTACGAACTTCATAGTAGGATCCATCGCCTGGTTATGTGGAGTGCACTTTGACAGGGACAAGGGAAACTGGAATGGCCGTTCCAGCATATTTGTCTTTGGTGGTCAGAGCTTCATTCATAGTGAGTCCGCAGACCAATGGTAGAGCGTTTTGCTTAGTGCGCAATGATATAAAAACGTGCGTCCAAAAAGCATATTGTTCAGACTTGGAGTTGGGGTATGGCGGTCAGTATGCCACAAAGGATGATTCTGCTCCCTCTCACCTCCCTCCCTATATTCACGTGGTTGTATTCTGGTTGGCGACTGCCTGCTGAGTAGTTAGACTGGTTTTCCTAAGGAAGACGAGACCAAGTTGTGTCATCATCCAGTGGTGTCGGTGGAACACCACTTTCTTGTGTTGTTTTGCGGTCTGAATGATGTAAATAGTCAAGGCGGCTGAGGAGGTGTCGTGCCTTACGCAGGGGGGAATCAACGGTAAAATAGACTAAAATACATGTTTCCTAGAAATCGACTCTCGTATTAGTCTGCGGACGCGATGGGTTAGGAACCACAACACCTCAGGTGTGCTCTTGTCCTAAAATCACCTCTGATTAATATCCATCTTCTAGATTACTGACTGATTGTAGTTATGTAACTACTCGTTTGGACTGTTGACTGGAATTCCAAGACGAAACAGAAGAGCTCAGTGAGCACATCACTTCCTTGCAACTATCTTCCCGCCTTCGGGAATTTGAGCGGGGAGTTCTAGGAAAATGCTGACAAGAATCCCTAAGGACAAAACAAATATTCCAGAACATTCGTGCTTGCAGCTCACCAAATGCTAGAATGTTCTTTAACACCAAATGTGCGCATGGGTATGCCCGACGAACGCGTCCGCAAAGGTTCTATGTTTCTAAATCTCCTTTGATTATGCCCGTAACCATAAAGGTACTTATGGT